TTGGGGAGGAGGCGACGCCGTCCCCGGGCTGGGCGTTACGACATCTCGTTAAAGACTTGGCTGACCTCAAGCTGTCTGTAAGCGCCTCCCAACAGTTGCCATTTGTCTGCTGTACCAATGTACGCACGCACGAGGTGTCGGGACGTGACCCCGTTGACCTCTGACACCGGCCTGTGGCGCTGGCAGAGACTCAAAAGGCGCGTGGTGCCTTGTGCCGCCGCCCTTGGATTTCACCACCGGCCACCACCTGGTGCTGGTGTTTTGTTCATGTCTTGTAAATCTCCCTCTTGGGATGGTGTGATGTGTGCGGGGTTTGTATTCCGGAAACCTCGCGGTGTTGTACCCTCAGTACATTTCAATACACGCGCGTGCGACAAGCCCAAAGTCAAAGGTTTGTCGTGCATCGAGCGAAGTGCGAAGTATTTTCCTGTCTGTTCAGTAACGCGGAGACAACCTAATGCTGAGGTATGTTCCCCTGTCCACTGCCAGAGCTGCGGAAAACAAGAAGGTGCGACAAGCCGTGTCTTTGGAGCTGAGCTTTGTCAGTTCCAACCTTCAGTATCTGAAGGAAGAGCTATCGGACCTCAATAGCTCAGTGGAAATCTACCAGGGTGATAGGTAAGGCAGCGCGAGAGCGTTGTTATGCTTTATTATTATATATATATATGTATATATATATATAATAAAGCATAACAATATATATATATATATATATATATATATATATATATCTTTATGGAGTGTATTTTCGAATAAATGGGCTTCGTGAGATATCATTAATGATACTTGTTTAATTGTTAGTACCGCTGGCTTGCATCTGGTACAAGTTTTCTTCTTCGCTTGCATTTGAAATCTCTCTGTATATGAGCTAATCAGCTGTATACAGTTCAATAGTGTGATCAATCATCTATTGACTGACAGCTGAAGACCAGCATATTCAATTTTCAGGCTATGTGTCTTGATAGCACACACATTTACCGCAGCCTTTATCAGATCTCGCGGCTGCAAGGGTGCGTGAGCTGGATCAAAACACAATTAACCCCGTGTTCAGACTAACAAGGCGACGCTGATGCTGGAAGGGTCTAAAGCTAACGACGCATGAGCAAGCTTGTTATCGCCTTCAGGGGTCACGAACCAAACAAAATCAGGCACTGCGCTCCGCAAAAATATGTGGTTGCGTGTTCGCATGTGACGGTTACCCGCTCCAGCCACCAACTGATTAAATGTACGCGTAGTTCTTGCGAGCTGAGCACTTAATTGCGGGGCTGAAAACCCTGACAAGTAGACGGTGGTGAGTGTGAGCTTGGTCAAGACATAGATAAGTCCAGGACAGAATGGACTTCGCCTGTTTCTTAGGCGGCACCCCCGCCCATCATGCATGTATCGACATTCCGACCATGTCACCCAAGGTCAGCGGTCCAAGGGCATGGACCAAGAGCACGGACCAGAAGGCGTCAGCAATGCCCAACATCCGTTGAAGGTTCCCCGCAACATGAAATTCCCTGTTTTAGCTGCACTCCTCTCCTGTGCTTTACTGCCGTGGGATTTTAAATAAAGGAAGTCCGTCACATGCTGCGTGCATATGACCGTGCTTTATTATCGTTCGCAGCGGAACACCGTACATTCCTATGATTCCCTTCGGGTTAAAGGAGACGAAGTACATCGACTTCGGAGACGCCTTCAAGGTACGGTTGTCCCTCTATCACCTGCTTCCATTGCTGTTTCCGGTTGGCTCTGCGGTCTCCTTACCGACATTTACGTCATCAGTTCCTGGCGTGACTCGTTCGTGATCATCGTCCCGAAAAGGGAGCCGTTGAATCATCACAGCGCATTATTAGTTTGGACGGAAGTGCAGGTGGCATGCAGGACATTCACCGCGCAATACCTTGAAAATGGCGAGGCCAACTCACTTTCGCACCAGCCGGCCCGAGCGAACAAGGCTCCCTCACCTACGTACCCGTGTGACCCGCAGGACTTTATCCTGGAGCACTACAGCGAGGACGCTCAGAAGTACGCCGGCGCCATCCAGGACTTCACCAACACACGCCAGGTGAGCGTCGGCCACCGGCGGCCGCCTTGGCGCTCCGCGGTTGGGACAGCGGACACCGGCTGCTGGGACAGCGGTCGACCACCGGCTCCGGCCGCAGCCTTATGGGGGCGAAACGGGCTGAGTCACGGACCGCCCGCGGCGCTGGCCAGCTGTCCGCCGCTCCAGTGTCTGTCCCCGTGCGGAGGATGGGCCGGCTCGAGCGGCAGCGGCCGGCCGCGGCGGGGCCGAGGGGGATGAGCCGGCTCGGAAGCGGCGGCGGCCGGCTGCGACGGAACCGAAGGGGACGGGCCGGCTCTAGCGGCAGTAACCGGCCGCGGCGGGACCGAGGGGGACTGGCCGGCTCGAGCGGCAGCGGCCGGCCGCGACGTGACCAAGGGGAACAGGCCGGGTGGAGCGGCAGCGGCCGGTCGCGAAGGGACCGAGGGAGACGGCTAGGCCCACCACCAACAGATACTGCTCCGCGTGTGGGGTCCCGCATCGCCATGATTCGAACATCGTGTGGGGAGAGCTACTGGTCAGCACCGCAGAAGATAATACACCTTCCCGGCGTTTCATAAATGGTCGCTGACACAAGGGGTTCAAGAGCATGTAAGGCATGCACTAGAAGCTATGTTAGTGCTTGTAGTGCATGTCTGCCTGCTTGTAATGCATGCCTGCTGCCAGGCATGCACTACAAGCTATTTCAGTGCTCGTAGTGCATGTCTGCCTGCTTGTAGCGCATGCCTACTACCAGGCATGCGCTACAAGCTACTTCAGTGCAAAGTCTTGCACGCAGATGGGCCGTTCTCAGGCTTGACCTCGTGTGGTGTCCCACGGAGGTCGCTCGGTCGAAGCCACTGTTGAAATGGCTGCCACTGCCGCTAGAGCTGTTGTTCAGCCGGTTCAGCCATTGTCTGGAGGTGTTACCTTTTAACGTCTGTTATGCCCTTGCTCGTGGCGTTTGCCTCTGGCCTCTCCTATGAGGAAGATTCACGTAGCTGATCCATGTCTGTTATTAAAAAGTCAGGCATTGAAACACCTTTCCTGCATAGTATTTTTTGTGGCCCATACGGACACAAACAGAAGTTTCTTAAGGCTGCGAGGGGAAATCTGGAGTAATACCTTGTCGGACTTTGTTTAAGCTCCTAACATTGAGCAGTAAGTCCGCAGTACCACCCTTGCTACGTATATGCTGCGATAAAACCGTGCCCAAACAGGTTCTGCTCGTACCTCCACGTCGGCGCGCGGCCGGGCCGGGTGGTCGACGTGGTGGGTGACATCGGTGCTCCGCTGGCAGGCGATGCGGACGCCAGAGCGGAACCAGACGGGACTGGCGCTGCTGTTCGAGTACTACAACCAGCTGTACTTCATCGAGCGCCGCTTCTTCCCTCCGGACCGCAGTCTTGGCATCCACTTCGAGTGGTGAGTGACCCGCACCGGCACCGATGGGGAGTGGTGTGTAACACACGCCGCCACCGATGGAGAACTCCGCACATCCCGGAGAGTGACTCGCACTGGCACCTTGGGGAACTCCGCACATCTTGGAGAGAGACCCACACCGCCACCGATGGGGAACTCCGCACATCCCGGAGAGTGACCCGCACTGGCACCGATGGGGAGTGAGAGAGACACGCTGCCACCCGCGGCAAGACATTTACATCCATCTGACCCCTATTCCTATGAACTGTGCGCCATAAGTTATTCCTTCGATCTCCCTCGTCAACCATCAAGACAACCACAGATGTGACGGTCGACTGGTGTTGAATGTTCCCGGAGCGTCAACGTATATTTCCCGGGCGAAGTACCACTGACCTTGTCGCAAAGTGATCGATATTTGCCATATTTTTGCAGTGACGTCATTAAAATGACGAGCAACGTCCACGTGACAACAACAGACGTGACGTCTGCATGCCCCTACGTGACGCGGACAGCGCACGCGCAGCACGCGCTCGTCAGTCGTGCTGGCCGCTGATCTGTCGTGCGCGCGCTTGTGTGACCCTCTCCAAGCTGTGCCACGCAGCTGCGCCGCCGGCCTCGGCGTGCTCTGCCGCCGTGTCCCGGCGGGGACACTTTCCCTGGCCGTCCTGCGACCCGTCCGCCGGCCGGCCGACCGACCGGCCGACGGGCCGACTCCAGCCCGTCCGCATCCGGTCCGTGACGTCACCCATGGGCCGGACCGTCCGGCGATGTCACGGCCGGCAGCCCGTCCTCCGTCGCCTCGCGGCGGTGGCGCGGCACCGGCCGGCGGAGAAACCGACCGGTGTCGCTGGCCATTCCCAGGGGAGCGGCCGAGAGCGGCTGGGAACGCAGCCGGGGCGTGGGCCCTGCTACAGTCGGCGGCTGGGAGGGGCGGCCAGTGTCCTCTGCGGGCGGCCGCCACTGGAAAGTGTCCGATTTCACTCTCCATGCTGGGTGCCCGGCTTGATTGGCCCGCGCCGTGCGTAGGCGGCGGTGCGTGCGCCGTTATCACCGGCGATGGTCCAGCGGTGGCAGGCGCACGCACACGCACATATCACGTCCGCCCACGCTCGCACTTCTCTAAGTGCCAGGATTGGCTGGCTCAACTGGCCATTTTGATCGTTAATGATCTTATCGTTGACCATGAGAAGCAGCTGAGCCCCTGTAGTCCACACCGGCGCAGTCATTCATTTCCCGACGGAGTCCGCTTTGCCGCCGGCAAGGTGCAGACGATGTCAGCACATGCAGAGCGCCCTGGCAGTAGGCAACGCCATTACCGTGCGCGTCATTGAGTCCAGGCCGGCAAAGCATCGCGAACGACCAGGGGCAGCCGGCGGCTGACCCAGGCGCAGCTGCTGGCCGGGGCACCCCGGCGGTCCGCGAGCGTGTCTGCGGGGCCGCAGCCTGGCCTCGCCCCGCCGGTTGGCGTGTCGCGCCCGCCCGGCCTCGCTCGTCCCGTCCAGTGCCCGCGCTAGGCGCCTGTTTACGGCGGCCCTCCGGCCCGCGGCCGAGCGTGACGGCAGGATTGACATTCCGTGGCGTCGACTGGAGTCAGCCAGGCGCCCGGCGCGCGTATTTACCCCGGATCGGACTGTCACTGGACGCCCACGCACACGCACACGCAGTGGAGATGACTGGTCCCGGATGCACCCGACCTTGACCAGGTCTGGGTGGGAGACACGAGGAAACCTCTGTCACCGCACTTGTGTTTGTCAGCATCACTGTCTGTGCGTTCGGACAGCGGTTGCATGGGGTCCGAGCGCTAGTGCAAGCTTTTACAGCGTTCGGCACGTGCGAGGCCCTGTCTGCGGTACGCTCGCTCGTGACTTGTGGTTGTAGTCGGGGCGGAGGGGACACAAGCTGCGGGGAACAACGTGACACGTCGTTTCGCCACAGTGCCCAGTGTTTGTCCCAGGGTCACCTTCCCTGACCCAGAGACGTACGGGAGGGATAAACATGCATAATTTTATTTGTTTTTGACAGAGGTGATTTTCCGATGACTCTGACGCACGCTATCACGATGCTGACTGACCGTCCACACCTGTAAACGCAGCGCATGTCCATATAATTATCTGGAATAAAATTGTCTTTCTTCGAGCTTGGTATGCATTTATAATGCTCCGCATCAGTGGGTTGGTCGTCTCATAGCTATATTTGTTCACCCATCAGACCTTTCCTTCACTTCTGGATAACCGCTGTTTTTTGTGACGTTGACATAGCGCCTGACGCTTTGATTGGACGAGCCGCGGGGCGTGTCATGGCGCGGACATTTCCAGCTGAATACCATCCATGCATAAACTGCTCTGCCTGATCGTGGCTGGCATTCGCCCAGCCCACCAATCAGCGACATCAAGAGTCTACCCATTCCCCACCTATAGCACGCCGGGTCCATAAGGAACATGACATCCGTCGACCACGCGCCGATGGCTTCGTCGATCGATCCGCGATGGACCGCGCCGGGCCGCTGACCCTCTGCGACCACTCTCGCAGGTACGACTCGCTGACGGGTCTGCCCAGCTGCCAGCGAACCGTCGCGTTCGAGAAGGCGTCGGTCCTGTTCAACATGGCGGCGCTGTACAGCCAGCTGGCGGCGCGCCAGGAGCGCGGCACGCAGGAGGGCCTGGACAGTGCCGTCGACAGCTACCTGCGGGCAGCCGGCATCTACAGGTGAGACCAGAACAGCACCGTCGACAGCTACCTGCGTGCAGGTGGCATCTACAGGTGGGGCTTGGACAGCGCTGTTGACAGCTACCTGCGGGCAGCCGCATCTACAGGTGAGGCCTGAGCAGCACTGTTGACAGCTACCTGCGGGCAGGTGGCATCTATAGATGAGGCTTAGGCAGCGCTGTGGGCAAGTACGTGCAGCTGATGTTTCACTGGGCTTAAGATGGATGCTATAAAGCCGAGTGCTTGCGACTCTTCGAAGATCGATTGGTTACCACCACCATCATCATCATCATGGGCTGCTGAACTGTATTAGCATCACCATCTCACGTTTCATCTCAGATGACCACAGAAACAATCTTAAATCGATGACGCTGGTATTCCCGAAATTTCTCTCCGGTTTGTGGTGTACTCCCTGGACTGACACGACGCCGAACGCGATAATGCACTGATGCGGGCTGCTTGCTAACGAAACTTATGCTTAACAGGTACATCTTGGAGAACTTCTCGAACGCTCCCAGTCGAGACCTGGACGCTGATGTTTTGGACGTGCTGGCCAACCTGCTGCTGGCGCAGGCTAAGGAGTGTCTTCTGGAGAAGCTGCTCCTTCCTGAAGAGAAGCAAGACCTCAGCGCTCAGCTGGATATCGGCCAGGAGGCCGCACAGGTGGGCATGAAAGACAATGACTAGCATACCATCACCGGCCCGTCGTGACGCCTTTTACAGATCCATGATTGGTGCGAGTGTTTGAAATGCACACATGACAAACAAAACATAAGGTAAGAGGCTCTTTCTGCTGGCGATTGTGACAAATAATGGTCACCGGCACTAAGTCCGTTTTGGGGCATGCATCTACTTATATATGTATATATATATATATATATATATATATATATATATATATATATAGATAGATAGATAGATAGATAGATAGATAGATATATGCGACCCTTTCGGTGTAAATAAAAGTGCAACCCTGCCATGCCGGAATATCTAGGCTCTATCGTACACCGCGTATATGACAAGGCACCAAGATCTCTGAACAGCCGTTCTGTGACCGGCAGGTGGCCGAGGTGTACCACCGGCTACGGGAGCAGATGGCAGCACCGTCCGTGCAGGAGTCCCTGCCCGTGTCGTGGCAGCAGCTGATCCACATTAAGGAAGTGTATTACACCGCCATCTCTCATCATCATTTCGCCGTCGGTAAGTGCCGACCAGACAGTCACAAAAGAACAGATTAGCGTTGGCTGACGCTGCCGAAATGTGCACTGAAAATAGCACTAGAGGAATCATTTTGCGAGCAGACAGCGGGCGAGTATATTGCTGAGGTAGCCTCTGTGTTAATACATGGCTGGCACGGTCTCTGAAATTCAATTTAGACGCGTAAAAATGCATTGCCTTTCTCTGCTGTGCTCTACACTATCTCAATGACATTTGTCCTGGCATGGGTTGTATGCTGTTCGTATTTTGACAACAGTTCGGGTCCGATCCGATCAATGTACATATCCTGGCTTGCTTCACCGCAGGTGGTGCCCCAAGCACAGCTCGGTTAGCTCGAGTCTCGCGAGACCTGTGTGCGTTCTTTGACCAGCTCGATTAACTCCAGAAAGGCAGAGAACAGGTGCACATGAAACTGACGACTGTTGTGCATACCAGGATTTTCAGCTAGCTGCCGCCGTTTCTGATTAATCGAGACCAGAAACACGGCATGCAATTTATTATGAGGAGTTATTGGATGAGGCCCGGCCGATGGCTCGCTGGCTGTAGCGCAGTGGTGACCCCTGCACTCGTGCTCGACTGTGCACAGGCCTGCTGGAGCACGAGGGTCCCCTGAGCAGGAGAATGGCCGACACGCTGCAGCTGTCGCAGAGGGACCGGGAGGGGCAGCTGCTCTCCGTTGAACACAAGGTGCCGCACAACAAGGTCCAGCAGGACTACCTGGGTACGTCACAGCTGACCGTCAACACTCATCTGGGACCAAAGGGGCCAGCGTGAAACCCAGCTGTTCTCGAGGTGGACGCGGGTGCACTGGCGAGCATGTTGATGTAGTTGGCCTTGGGGTGCGTCAACCGCAAGTGTTTGCATTATCCCTGTGCTCATCCCTGTGCTCTTAATTTTACCTGGCCACGACCGAATCCCGACCATTTGTTGGCTCACGAGCAGTAGCGCATACAAGATGATCAGAACCGTGTGGCTGCGAGATCGGACCACCCCCTCCCCCTCTCCCGCCCCCCGTCAGGTGACCCTGACCGCCGCCCTGACCGTCGGTGCCGTTCCCAGCCAAATGCCACCTGCGCGAGGCCATCGTGCTGCACGAGGAGAGTCTGCGCCTGTACCGGATGGCGCGCGAGCTGCGCAAGCGCGACATGCTGCGCCACGTGCTGCGGCTGGCGCTGGAGCTGAGCAGCGAGCAGTACGGCCTGCTGGAGCGCGAGGACGACTTCGACGAGCCCGTGGACGCGCCCGTCATCACCGGTACGATACTGATGGGATGCGATGCACGGGTGCGATGCTGATGGGATGCGATGCACGGGTGCGATGCTGATGGGATGCGATACACGGGCGCGATGCTGATGGGATGCGACACACGGGCGCGATGCTGATGCGGTGCGATGCACGGGCCGGTGGGCCGCTGACACGCAGAGAGGAGGATAAGCATCGTTTATGACTCCGGATGTGCGACTTTGATGATTTCCCGCGAGCGAGATGCAGGCTAGCCGTGTGTTGCCGATGCTAGCAAGGCCCATGAATGCACCCTGGTGTGAGGCTTAAGGGTCAGACCAAACGTTAAGCGCAGCAATGTTCAGGGAATTTCCTAAGGCCCCAACAAACACGTTGCGAAGCCAGTAAGTAGGTGATATACCGGCGCGGGAACAGACGCCCCCCCCCCCCTCCCGGGTCTCCGCCGCGCTCTGGAGCGTGTCGCCTCCGTTGCAGGCTCGTCCAAGTACCAGCTGTCGCTGCAGGCGCCCGACTTCAGCCAGCACCAGGTGACCGACCTGTTCCGGGCGCTGGGCCCGGTCGAGGTGTTCTCGGCTCACCATCACTGGTCGGCGCCGCGGACCGTCCACATCCACCGCCTGCCCGGCGAGGGGCTGGGCTTCAGCGTCAAGATGGAGGCGCCCGTCGTGGTGGTCGGCGTGGAGCCGGCCGGGCTGGCCGAGGTGAGGAATGCCGGCTGGTTCGTCCGCTCGGGTTGTTCTTCCCGCTTTGGTACTGAAGTGTGATGCTTTGACGGTGCCTTCTATCGTGCTAGTGACCCCGAGAAGTTGTCTAAGTATCAGCTAAATTCCCACCAGTGCCACTACAAACTGCCTCGCCACCATTTTTACTTTGGCTGATTTTGAAATTTAGAGGAATCATTATTAGAATTGAGCGACTCGTATGTTGTTTGGCTTGGGATCAAACTGGCCGGAATAATGAACAACGATGATCAGTGATGTTAAGCGGGAACATCGGTTTCCAAATGACACCGTCTCCAGTCAGGTGCATACCACATCTCTGATACAACGCACCATGTTTCTCGGTCTGAACCAAGGCCCAGAGCGGCCGTGTTTTCCATGCCGTCCCGCCAGGGGGCGCTGCCGGTCCCAGACCGTGACTAGGCGTGACGTGCGCTATGACCGTGCCCCCAGCGCGTGGGTCTGAAGGAAGGCGACTACATCGCCGGCCTGAACGGCGAGGACCTCAAGTGGAGCAGCCACACGGAGGTGGTGGCACAGATACGGCGCGCGGGCAGCGAGTTCCAGCTGCACATCATCACGCCCATGGACAAGACAGAACAGGTGAGTCGGCGTTCGCAGCGCACGGCCGCAGCCCGTCAAACACGTTCGGTGCAGGCCAGGCTGCGGCTGCGGTGATTGGTGGGTCAGCTGTTGCGTGGAGCGCAAAGTTATGTGAAGCGCGGTAGTAGTAATCGAACGGGCGGCTTCCGTTGTGCAGCCTCTTGTGCCGAAAAGCACCATGCGCGCCTTTTGGCCGGCATCGTGTGTGCGTCCGTCACGAGGACAACGCGCGCCGGCTGCGTTAGTGCTTGTGAATGGGGCCACTTCTCGAGCCCTGTTCGTCGTGCCGACATGCATGCTGAAGTCAGGCTGATACCCTCACGGTAGCCTGGTGCTGCCCGTGTGCTGACGGTAAACCAGCTCCCCTGACCGGAACCCGCTGTCTCGGCAGACGCCGGAGCCGCCGCGGCCGCCGCCCATGCCGCCGCTCTCAGACAAGACCTGGGGCTCGCTCTCCAGCTCGGGCGTCAGCTCGGGCGTCTCCAGCCGCAAGCCGAGCCCGGCCAGCAGCCTGGCCAGCCAGAACAGCAAGGGCTCGGCGCGCCGCCACTCCTGGAACCCGTTCAAGAAGGGCTCGCGCTCCGACCACCCCGAACTGTACATCAGCAACGTGGTGCTGCGGTGAGGCCGGCCGGCCCGCCCCCATCTGTACATACGCCATCCTCTCATGCGTGTGTGCGTGAATGCGTGAGAAGACGCGCTGTGACGGTCGCGCCGCTCCGGGCCGCTCGCCCCCGGGGCGAGGGTTGCCGCGAAGCGGCAGCACCGGCGCACGGCGTGCGCTCCCATCAGGCCGCCCCCAGCGAGGGTGTAGCCGCCTAGCAACCGCGAGCTCGTGACGTGCAGACGAACGTCAGCGCGCGGTGCGTGTAGTCGTGTGCGGCGCGCTGGACGGGCTAGCTGACCAACGGTCCGCGCTCTCTTGCCACGTTGACATGTGTCGTGTAGTGTATGAAACGTTATCTGATTGATGTTAGTCGCGTTAGATACGTGTAGTCACGTTGATTTATCATGCAATTTTATCGTGGGTGACAGGAGTGCCCCAGTGTAATGTAATCGTGTAATTCTGTTGCTAGATCGTGACGTGCAACGACTTGGGCCAAACCACCTCGCGCGTGTGCGGGCACATTTTCGCAGGGGTGCCGTCGGAGATGAAACTTACAAATGTCGATGTAACGCTATTGTGATATTCGAAGCCGCCTGGAGTAATCCAGTCGTGTTTGTCAGCGCGCTCAGCTGACACTCGCATAATGTGCATATTCAATAAACGTGACATTGGGGAATCATAGCATGCTTGTCAATATGCAAAGTTGCTACCGCGCAGCTGCCCCTAGCAAAATCCGCGCATTCACATACTATAATGCATGTGTACATACATGTGTAGTGCATGTAAGCATGCACTACTCACGGGCTATTTTCTTGGCTGAAGAAAACATCTTTGGGTCGGCGCGCACGCTGGGCGGAACTTTTCGCAAGACCTCCCCACCACGGTGCCCGAACATCCACCACGGTGCCCGAACAATCACCAGTTATCGATACCTTCTGTCGTGCCCTTGGCGCCATTCTTGGCGAGCCCCGGCCCATGCTAACGTGCTTCAGTCCGTGACACAGGCGCTATGGTTGCGTGTGACCTCCGTACCGGTCATCTCGACGCGTCGTCACAGAGCATGTCCAGGCCGCAGAGTGCGCCAGACGAGAGCGGCTGTTCTTTGCCTCGAAGTGGACGACTCGACTCATATTGCAACGTAATTAGCGGAATGCCAACAGGATCCCGGTACGTTGGCAAGACGCGCACAAACAGCACTTTGAAAACACTATAATGAGCAGCACTGTTGACGCATTCAAGACCTTGACATTGTGTTTTCCTCGGATTCCGAAGCTCTTCTTTGCAGTGCTGTGGTACTTTTCTGCGAAGTTAGGCGATTCTGCGTAGGCTCAGAATCGACTCGGTTTGTTATTGTTTGTAGCGATAGGATTGGTATAAGCGCACCGTCCATTGCGCCGCGGTGGGCCGGGGTGGCAGCAGACCCGGCCACTTGTCAGTGGACGACGGGTAGTTAAGCAAGTTAGTTTTAAAAAAAAAAAAATGGCAGCAAAGCTTCTCGACCGATCGCAGACTTAATCCTGCCTTTGTGAGACAAGGTGAAGTGCACTGAGAATGTTGACACAATGACGTGCAAGGCCTCAAAAATGAAACGAAAATTTGATAAAAACCATATATGGGCATTCTCCTTCACGAGACATGAAGTATGTAAAAGTCATTTCGCCAAAGCGCGTACACCACAATTACAACAGCAGCATTTGTCACATGAAGCGATGGAGAGGACTAGAATTACTGCAACACATCATTGACAAACAAACACACGCAAAACGCCAATCTGGCTGACGACACGTAAGACAACAGCTCATGCGATAGATTAATGAACTATTCAGACACCACACACACCGTCCGCAGAACCCTTTCGCAACCTACACAGTATTGCAGCGCCACGCAATCCACTTACTCCACAATTCATCACTGGCAGTGACAAAGCTGAAACAACAACTACAGACGGCCCCAAGGCTCCTGCAGCGCCAAAGCTTTACCGGCGGAGCCAGCACCACTCAATCGAAATGCCGACCACACCCCGACCCCCCTACCCGCTCCGGGCTTCGCACAGAACCCCACACGCCTCACGCGTCCGGCTCCAGCTCACGGTCCAAGACCAGCTGGGCCTTCCAGTTCCCTCCCGCCACGCAGTCGAGCTTTGTACCATCTCCTCGGCCTTGTTTGTACCTCTTGGAACAGCCGCTACCCAAACGGTGCCCCACGCTTCTAAACGTGTTCGGTAAGCGACCATGCAGGTCACCGCGTCGTTGCCTTTGATGTGCGCTCTGATGGGGCGCTGTGGCATTTGTCCCGGTGACTTGTTTGGTTTGTCCATTTGTCCAGAGCCATGGATGTGCGCTGCGAGCCATTGGCTTGGACAACTCTTCCATGCTCAGATTGTCCTGAGTCGTGCCCGCATACCTCGCGTGCTGCACCGGTCATGGTACGGCACCAGCCGACGTGCGTGCTGGACCCGTGCAGTCGCCCACAGTTCACCTGGGCGTTTGCTGCATCCCCGGTGTGACTTGGAAGCGGTCTGCGCACTCGTCGCTCACTCGCGCAGCCTACCAGCTGCACGTTTCTACCTCACGCCGTTCTGGGCCTCCGCACCCGGCCGGGCTTCGGCCGTCACGTGCGCCGCGGCCTTGCCGTCCGGCGCGGTTCGGGCCCCGGTCCTCACCGCTCGCCGCGGCCCGGAACCTGATCCTCACCGTCCGGCGCGGCCCGGACCCCGGTCCTCACCGCCCGGCGCGGTCCGGGCCCCGGTCCTCACCGCTCGCCGCGGCTCGGAACCTGGTCCTCACCGCTCGCCGCGGCCCGGAACCTGGTCCTCACCGTCCGGCGCGGTCCGGACCCCGGGCCTCACACTTCGACGGGGCACGAGTTGAGCAGCACGTTGGTCAGCTGCGCCATGTCGGTCCAGTCCCGGCGTACGCCGTTTATCTCGATGTTGCGGATGCAGCCTTTGAAGTTGTCCGGCTGCAGCAGGATCGAGTTGCTGGCCCGCTCTAACGGAGAGAAAACAGTGCGAACGTCAGAACTGGGGCGCTGGAGCACCGCACTGCACCGGCGCTGCACACCCGGGGCATATAATCATCATCATAATCATAATCATAATCATAATCATGACCAGCCTCGTGAGCAGGTGAGCGGATGACGTACCGGGCAGGCCGCCGATGTATAGTGGGAAGCCTCCGCTCGGCGTCTGGCTGGGTCCGTTGGCCGAGAAGCCGTACCTCTCCGGATACCTGTCCACCTTTAAAGTCGCCTGTCGGTGCAGAGGCATGGGTCACTGGTGTAAAGATCTCACGCTGGCGGTCTGCGCACCAGCCGCCAGCAAACTGACCTTCGCGCAGTCTTTCATTTTTGGCGGTCCATGTTGGTTTTGACGGATATTTGAAGGGAGGCGGTGCCAAGTGCGCAGCGGACGTACCTGGTACCTGACATAGTTGGCTTTGACGCTGTGCCAGCGGTTATCGCACACGGTGAACTTGGTGGGGAACTTTTGCCGAGCTCGTATTGGCTCGGAGCCGCCGTTGTGAACTGAGAAGACCACCTGAAATGAAAGACACGCGGCGAGATTTGTCAGACACGACGTACTCTAACGGGTCAGAAACTCTGGAGCACATCCACCTAATATGGTTGCTTAAATGTCTTTGATTGTCTAACTTAACTCGCTTAGCAAAATGTAAACGAGTTCTGTATGTTTTATCTAAATTGCGGCAAGCTTCATGAAATGGTATTCAGCAAACATAGATAAAACAGTAGTAATAGCCTTATTCCTTGGGAGAAAAACCAGAAGAATGGAGATATAGTTGGGTTGACATGTCAGTGACGTGCTTTTATCAAAACAAGAACGGAAGTGAATTCACGGAAGTACTGCACACCACTGTCTGCCGATGAGGTGCGCGCGGTCCGTGTCCGTGCTGTGAAACATGCGGTGGCACGCACCTGGCCGTCGGTGATCTCGAGGGAAAGCGCCGGCCCGCCGGGCGGTCCTGCCACGCTTATGAGCACTCCACTCAGCTCCGTCGTCCGAAAGTCCACCGCCAACTCCACAATACTCCCCAGCTGGAAACTGTCATCTGCCGGCGGTCCGGATGGTGGTCAGAGGGGCCCGCCGCACGTCAGACGGACGGCGTCAGAGGGGTCCAGATGGTGGTCAGAGGGGCCCACCGCATGTCAGACGGACGGCGTCAGATCGCGGTCAGAGGGGCCCGCCGCATGTCAGGCGGACGGCGGCAGATGGGTCCAGATCTCGGTCAGGTGGGTCCAGATCGCCGTCAGAATGGCCCGCCGCACGTCAGGCGGACGGCGTCAGATGGGTCCAGATCGCGGTCAGATGGGTCCAGATCGCCGTCAGAGGGGCCCGCTGCATGTCAAGCGGACGGCGTCAGAGGGGTCCAGATCGCCATCAAATGGTACCGATCGCCATCAGAGGGGTGCAGATCGCGGTCAGAGGGGCCCGCGTCAGGCCAGTTGCTTGGGCATGGATCCGCTTTTGAGCGATTGCGCTGGCGAGCACCACCAGGAGTAACCCAGTCACTTAGTGCACAAGATCAACTGGGTCCCCGTTTTCGTCCTTAAACGTGCACGTGATCATGTGCGCGCCGCGAAGCCGAGGTGTAGTAACTTACACCGAGCCTAAATCGGTAGCGCGCCCTGAGTGGATTGCGACGAGCATTATACCATGACTGGCGGGATACTTATTGGTTATCATCCTGTGGACGGTACCAAAACCTGAACCAATGATGACCCCACATGACTCACATGCCTTGTGCCGGATCAATCGGCTTGCATGCAAGTACTATCCGTCGCAGCTTCAAAGAAGTGTATTCCGTTTTATTGAAGGCTGCATGAAACTGCGATTAAAAGTACTGCAAAAGTATTGGGTGCTGGACATTTCAAAGCACTGGTTACACTCACCAGCGTAAATGAGATAGATCATGGTCATGAACATGATCGGTAGACGCTTACCATACGTAGCGAAGGCGTCCCCGGCGAAGAAGGTGCCCAGTTCCACCCGGGCCATGCACTGGCCCACCCTGTGAATGATGTTCCTCCGCGATGGCAGGTCAATGACCCGGCCGCGCACCTCCAGCTGCTTCATGCAGCCTTTGAAGCCCTCCGTTTGCTGGGGACGTGGAGCTCTGTGTCAACTTGGCCCTAGCACTGGTTCATCTAGTATTCACTTGTGAACTGGCTACCACCAAAAAAGAAGGAAACACTCGGTCAGTTATGTGAACCATGCCACAAATAATGAAGTGTTAAGCCACTATGCCACGCAGTCCCCCCTCGCTTGCATAATCACCAGCAGTTCGAGCTTCTTTTGGCCGGGCAGGCGGCGGACGCTGAGCGTGTCGACGCCCTCTTGCGGCAGGCCGCCGATGTAGAGGGCGCTGCCGGGCCGCAGCGTTTGCGGGCCGCGTTTCTTGGCCACCGGCACGCCGCTCACCCGCAGCGTGTACCGGCGCCGGCGCTTCTCCAGCGTCACCTGCCGAGTGGCGGCGCTCGTGAGCCGCTCAGAATGGCGTGGGTGGGGAGGGGGCGCTAGTGGGCGGCTCAGAACGTCGGGTGGCGCTGGTGAGCCGCCCAGAACGCCGGGGGGGGGGGGGTGCTGGTGAGCCGCTCAGAACGTCGGGGGGGGGGCTGATGAGTCGCTCAGAACGCCGGGGGGGCTTGTGAGCCGCTCAGAACGCCGGGGGGGGGGGCGCTGGTGAGCCGCTCAGGACCCTGGGGGGGGGGGGGGCGCTGGTGAGTCGCTCAGAACGCCGGGGGGGGGGGGGGCTCGTGAGCCGCTCAGAACGCCGGGGAGGGGGGCGCTGGTGAGCCGCTCAGCGCCGGGGGGGGGGGGGCGCTGGTGAGTCGCTCAGAACGCCGGAGGAGAGGGAGCTGGTGGGCCGCTCAGAACGTCGGGGGAGACTGGTGGGCCACTCAGAGCGCCCCAGCCGCGGACGCGGGGGACCAGCCAGGCAACACACGGCGTGACGGCACCCAGGCAGAGGCCCAATGCCTTGCTGACCTGGCGCGTGATGGCCGGCACCTATGAACTCTCCACAATTTACAACTATGGATGTACGATGTACAGCTATAGATATAGATGTATGGTGTAGATGTACGACGTGTAGATATGTACTCATAACTACGATGACCATTCCGATCACTGTCACGCCAGGATGACAAGTCGCACATTACGCCTCCCCCCTCCTCCTCACTAGTGTTTAGGCACGTTGCATTTCTCCAAACGTCTGGGAGACATCAGGCACCCGAACGAGCAGCCGGCGGGGCTCTCTCGCACAGCACTCACCATTTTCCAGTCTCCGTCGTTGAGCTGTCCCTTGGTGCTGAACTCCATGCCTCTCCTGCCCTTCTGCACGTTCAGCACGACAGCGCCGTCTCGCAGGCTCAGCGTCAGTGTCGAGACGGACGCGTTCGGCCGCCGGGCCGAGCCGCGCCCCTGCCGGGCGACGGGACCGGTCATCACCCCACCGCAGGGTCAGGACCGCGACCGACCCGTGGTCTGTGCGCCGCGACAGACCCTCGCGCTGGGGACCGGTCCTGCCCGTCTCTCCTCGTCACCAAACTCATGGCGGAGTTGCGTATCGTGGATATTTACTTGGAGCAGGAGTATCACAATGTAGGAAAGTGGCCACTGACTACCTCAGAAATGTCCAGCGCACGCAATGATGATAGGATTTCAGAAACTTACAGACAATGCAGATGTCAAACGGTTTGAACAAATTACGATGGTACCTTATCGAAAATAAAATATGCATGGGCGTTCCGACATCTGCGGAGATAACTTACCTCATTATAGAGTAAAAGTCCATTGGGGTAAAATGTCCTAAAGTCGAGTGTTATATTGAAGTCGGATCGTAGGTCGCGCTTCTTGATTGGAACGTAAACGTGGCTGAAGGGGTTGTCACCAAACTTGACCGCTCTGAAAAATATCGATGTTTTCTTGAAGACGAATTCTATTATATAAAAGGTACCGAGGTCAATGCGAGATCAGAATGTCACGACGCCTGTTCCATGTTTTAACATAACATTAACATAACATTAACATTAACAAACAGAGCAAGGCATAATAAGTTAGAAGGACCCACGCTTTTGAGCAAGACCAAAGTCCAGCAGACCTTAGACAAAGAATAGACAGTCCAGAAATCACTACCGACGTCCTTCCCCTTGCCACATTGTTTTTGGAAAGCATTCAATTTCTGTTCGAACGCATCAAGCTCAATCCTCACAGCGGGCTATGATTCACATCACGTTATGCAGTGATGTTTGAAAAACCTCCGGTTGAACTCAGACAGCGAGACACGATTCTTGTCATACAACACCACGGCTGTAAGTGTGACACAACTTGAGCCTGACGCCGACAAGTTCGGTTCGACTTCAACACCTCGCCCCAACAACAAAGCACAACAACAGCACGACGGAGCTCAGTTCGGCGTGGAGGCAGCCGAGTCAGCTCTCCACGGCTGCCGCGACCGATGGGAAGCCTCGATGTGATGTCACTTCCTGTGTATCTACGATCTGTGCCCGGATTATGCGCAGTACTTATCATTCTAGTCTTTGACGCTTTTTGTCCAATTTTGGAAGGACTTCTTGAAAATAAACCCACGGTTCGTTACGCTAAGGGTCTTAACTGGTTGGTATCAATCCAAAACTTGAAAGATTTACGCCATAAAGGATGTAACGGGAGGTTTGACGCTGCCAGCAGCCATCACATTCCATCCCCTCATACAACACAGATGGTAGCAATGCGAACAAAAAGCAATCTGAAAACCAAGCCGCAACGAAAGGAAAAATGGATCCCAGACAAAGTCGCTGACGTTCGTCGCGGCGGTCCGTCGGGTGAGCTCAGATGAGCGCCGTTGTGGCACGTGAGTTGAACACAGGTGAGCGCCGCTATGTTGCGTCAGTTGAGCTCCGGTGAGCGCAGCTGTGGTGCGTCAGTTGGGCTCAGGTGAGCGCAACTGTGGTGCGTCAGTTAAGCTCAGGTGAGCGCAGCTGTGGTGCGTCAGTTGGGCTCAGGTGAGCGCAGCTGTGGTGCGTCAGTTGAGCTCAGATAAGCGC